TTTAAAAACCAATTTGTATTTTGAAACTAAAATAATAATTATTGTTATGACTTCTGCATTTTACTCTCATAAACTCTCACTTTAAATCAGCTCAATTAAGACCCTCTCAACCTTTTGTAGACTGGTGTTCATGTTTAAGTATCTCATAATATTGCGGTTCCAAAGCGCATGGTTGGGATTTGCTGTTCCTTTGAGTGTAGCAGTGTTTTTTACATGCGTTAATACCATACTTAGTTATGCTAAAATTATTAATAAAATTCCACAGAGATCGTGTGATTCTGTACAATCTTTGTATTGTCATTCTGACACTTTTCCTTATTTTATCAGAAATAGAGTAAGCCATTTCTTATATTATTTAGAAGTTTGCGTACAGATATTTCGAAAACAGGAAAGAGGAACTCCAAGTACAATGGACCTTTCCTAAGTGTCAATCACACTTAAAAATTGACCAATCGAAAGGGCCAGGAATACGTGCGTGTCTAACAAGCATAAAGCCGGTTTTCCACTAGGCGAATTTATTCGGGCGAATCAAAGCGTCAGTTCGCTTCCTAAGCTCTGATTGGTTACGCATTTTTTCACTTCGCAAAAACTCCGATAGGAAATTGAATGCGCATGCGCACGAACCGACGCTTTCGATTCGCGCGAATAAATTCGCCTACAGGTTTAATGTGCTGTCCCAAAAACGCACGTATATGCGTATTTTGTGGGACATTACAAGCTGAAGGTTTATTCTTCGTGGTAGTTCAGAGTTTTCCTTTTTTAACTGTCAGGCAATGGCAAGTCAAATAAATAATTCCGTATGACTGTAATAATTCGAAAATACCTCGCGGTGTACTTTTTGCATATTTACTTTTGTACGTCAATTGTATCAAAGATAAATTGGAATAACATTATCACCGAGAGTCAGCATACAAATGTTATTTAAACACAAGAGGAGAAACTTAGTGACACAATCATTCAAGTGCCTTCCTCCTGTGTTTCATCAACTCCTGCGTTGTCAAATATTAATTCAATTCGATTTTAAATGAACATTAATTCCTCCTTCAGAACATACATTGGCCTTATGATAGCAGTAATTTTGATTTCAATGATTAAGGATTATTATAATTTAGTGAAATAGGTGGCATTTCTTTCCCTGTATAATGTCATCAAATCAAGCCTTGATCAGGGGATAATTTCATGACACATTTGGTAATAATTTTCAGACCGGTGATGTAAAGAAAAAGAATATATTACAGATAAATTTATATATTATAAATACTCTCCCCGAAAATACTAAAGTAAAATTATATGAAGCATATTCAAAATATATCAGATAAAGAATATTTATAAGAATAATATAAATTATTTTTTAGACTAATATACTGTAAATTATAAAATTATATTATAAATATATTTAGTTTTATATATAGTTTATATAGTTTTACTTTATTATTTTCGAGGATAGAGTTTTTTGATTGGTAAAATTTAATTTCTAAATGCTAAACTATAAGCTAACATTACATATCTAGCTAGGAAACTTCTAAACAATGAAGCAAATCAGCCCATATGGACATATGGATGTTCGAACACTACTATCATTTAATTGTTTCTTTAGACTAATATACTGTAAATTATATAATTATATTATAAATATGCTTTATATAATTTTACTTTATTATTTTCGGAGAGAGATTTTTGATTGTTAAAAATTAACTTCTAAATGCTAAACTATAAGCTAAATTCATTACATATCTAGCTATACAATGAAGCAAATCAGCTTGTCTGGTCCTCCCGCCCACACGGACGTAAAAGCTCGTGATGATTTTATCTGGGAATCTTTGGATCAGGATATGCTAGTAGGTCAACCTAATCCGTTTTCTGATATTTTATAGTTTAATTTTGACACCAGTCATGGTTCTTATGTTGATTTTCTGTTAATTTTTAAATATTGTATGCAATCACGTGATTGATATAACTGATCTACTTCGTATCCTTTCTCTTTACGGAACAGGAAGCTGTAATAAAACATTTATTTGAAAACGGTCAGGCCTATATAATTTACAAAGCACAGTGTTGCAAGTCATTCGGTTAATAACTGATTGATGTATTGTAAAGCCTTTACGTTGCTGCAACAAGATGAACTTTTCTGCGTATTCAGTGTTTCTGTTTGTTTCTGTGGTTCTCCACCGGCATAGGTGCCAAGCACAAACGACGTCGGCTTGGAATAATCCACGAAACTCTTTTATTTGTGACTTCGAAAATTCTTGCTATTACAATGACATATCGCAAGATCGGGATGATGATTTTGATTGGTCAAGGAACTACTACAAACCACCCTTATGGGCATATGGAGGTTTGAACACTACTATCATTTAATTTTTAAATTATAGACTAATATACTGTAAATTATAAGTATAGACTAATTTGTATTTTGACACTAAAATAATAATAATTTAGCCTATTATGACTTCTGCATTTTACTCATAAACTCTCACCTTAAATCAGCTTAATTACCTAAGACTCTGTCTCAACCTTTTCAGACTGGTGTTCATTTTTAAGCATCTCATAATATTGCGGTTCCAAAGCGCGTGGTTGAGATTTGCTGTTCCTTTCAGGGTACTAATGTTTTTACATGGCTCCAATGTTTTTGATTCCTTCCTGATTTGGCATTTTAACACTAAAAAATATTCAAATTTCCCTCTCCCCAAAAATACTGAACTGAAGTTCAACGCCGATACACCTATTTTCTGTACATAAGTAGTAGGGAAGCTATAGATCGCGAACACAAGTTGTTAGTGGATCGTGCTGTTGAAGAAATTCTGGACATGGGTCAGTTTTGGTCACATAAATATGTTATGGTCTATCCCTACTATTTGAATATAGTTTTTCGAGTGTACATTAATGTTGTACACTCTTTTTTAATACTTTGTGGGGTCACCCAACATTATTCATCAAAAAGACATATTATTGCATATAAAAACATTTTAGTAATTTTGTTTCAATAGTCTAAATACACAGTCAACTTTAATTTAATATGGCAATATTAAAATACTGAAGAATTTTCAGCATACGGTTGTAAAAGTGATTATTGATTTAAAATTATTTAAGAACTTTTCTTTTGAAATATTTTTTATATCATAAAAAGTTGGTAAACTGAAATGTAACTCGATTTGTTTTTGCTGCTTTAAGACGTTTGCTTTGCAGTAGAGCTCAGTAGTTAAGATGCTTGCCTTCTAATCCCAGGGTCCTGGGTTCAATTGCTGTCACAGCACGACTTTTTCTCACTACCAAAACCAACTCCACTCACTAAGCCTCATAAAGAGAGTTAGTTTATAAAGCACCATTTTCATCCTGTAATTGGCAAGTGTACTTGCTGTTGGATGTGAGGGAAATAAAATAAACACAAATATGTTTATAATTTGCGTCAATATCATACTTAGTTATGCTATAATTATTAATAAAATTCAACAGGTGTGATTCTGTACAATTTTTGTATTGTCATTCTGTTCCGCGTACAGATATTTTGAAAACATGAAAGAGGAACTCCGAGTCAATCACATTTAACAACTGTTAAATCTTTTTGAATTAATACCGTACCTTTTCTCTTTTATGGGTGTAACCCACTTTTATTAAACTTGTTTTCATCATTTTTCGTATTAATGATACATACTGATCTAACGGTATACAATATAAGAAATTGCGTAATAAAAAATAAAATTTGAATTTATCTTGTAAACGTTTTAACGTGTTTGATTGAAAAAATGGGATTGTGCACCTTTACTACACCTTTTTACTATATTAGGATGTGAACGTTCTATTAATAGCATTCTGTAAGCGAAGGCGGAATTTGATTGTATAATAGTGTATCAATACATAGTTTATTGTTATGAAAATGGACAGAAAATACTTGTAACAGCATCATATACTCACATCAAATCGGTTCACCGAACAAAGTACGATTCGTATTTGCACAAATCAGAGCAGAAAACAACAAGGAACTCGGATTATTTTTCATGTCATATGGATCATATAACAATTATAAATTATTATTTACAACAAATTACTAGTTAGGAGACACCGTGATAGCTATAAATGAGTATACATTAGATATATCACCAAGATAGCACTTAAAATTAACAATAGAATACCTATATATAATACTTCAACATTATTTGTAATAAGAAAGGCTTGAGAATTAGTCTTATGAATAATAATTCAATTTGTACGGTACTATGAGTCTTGAACCATCATTTGAGACTATGTTATTAATAGGCTATGTGGACCGTTGCCGAAACAAGCCTTCTGCTTTTTGTTTACAATATGTTTTTCAGGGATGGGATTCTTTTATGGAAGGTTCTATATCTTTAATGTATATTTATGGTGCATGATAGTCTATTATACAACAGATCAATAATGTATAGGCCTATATGTAAATAAAAATGGAAAAAGGATGAAGCAAAGGGGTATTCCATTTAAATTAGTTGTGATTGACTTATATATGGCAGAGATGGGTGCAATATCAATACGAAACGGCGATAACGTACGGCAGCGCCGGGTTGTTAACGGCCACCAAGTTTTAATTGTTGAGTAAGGTTAATTTTTACTGTCTAACCCTTTGTAACATCGTAAACTTTAAACAATGGTGTTATGCACCCGACATACGAAAATCCTTCATTTTTTTAAATGCAACTCAGGGTCGTCTTGAAGCCGGATGACCTAACATCCTACTCTTTCTTCCCCTCCTCTTAATTTTTCAGCCTACCAATTTGTCACTTTTATTTTTCTAAATTGTGATAAACCCTCAGACTAGGCTTTGAAAGCGACCCGAAAAAAAAACGCATGTAGGAATTATTGTTGTTGATTTTGGATAATTATGAATCATGTGATAAATGTCAACCAATCTTATATTGTTGAATACACGGAACAGGAAGCTAAAAATACAATTTGTAAACGAGTGGTGGCGATCGAGCATAATAATTATTATTAATCATTAAGTCGTAAAGCACAGGAAATCATTTCGCTAAAACGTTTACTGATTGATGTAACGTAATTTGCGTTAGTCGTGGCCAAGATGAACTGTGCTGTTTATTGGGCGTCGTTTTTTATTCAAGTGATGCTTCACAGCCACAAGAGCCTAGCACAAAGTATATCAAGTTGGAATGAGCCAGAGCTGCAACAACTTAGTTGTGACTTCGATAATACCTGCTACAGAAAAATAATGCAAGATAATGATGATGATTTTAATTGGTACAGAAACATTTATTACAAACCACCTGCATGGTCATTTAGTAGAGGTTTGAACAATATTGTTTTATATTTACAACTTACAAGCATAAACTAAATTAATTAATCGTTGTTATTTACTTTTTAATCATTCATAAATAATTTATTGTATTATTATTATTATTATTATTGTTATCAAAATTTAACCAGTTTTATAATAAAAGTAATTAATATACGAAGTTATAGATAATTGAATTTAGTGTTAATTGTGTCTTAGATGAAAACATGTACATTAGCGGATATGGCAAAGAACCTGGGCAAGTTGCTCGCCTTAAAACACCGGCTTTCTCATCGAACTACACCTCTTACTGCATCAGCTTTTCTTACTACATGATTGGACCCTATGTAGGTCAGTTGGAAGTGATTATTGAGGAAAAGGTACATGGTGTCGGTCAACCTATTAGAAATTTGTCTGGAATACAAGGTCTTTACTGGAACACAGGATACATTCAATTCCAACCAACAGACTCATTTAAGGTATGCTATGATCAACATGTATAAAATCACATATTATTATTGACATATTGGAATTGATTGGTTGGTACACTGCCCTGTTATTCTAATTAGACCTATGGGTCGTAACCCTAACTAGGTCGCGAAAGAAATGTGTCGAATTTAAAACCTAAACTATAGCGGAATTTCACTCACTTTATGCGTATCAAACATTCTAAATAAAATTATTGCTCAGAATATTTATCACTATCTTGAGAGTAGTGAATTTCTACGTAAACAGCATCAAAGGTTTTGAGTTTATCTACATACATTGAAAGTGTTTTTTACACATTTTGTAAAGCTTTTCAAAATGTACATACTCCGTCAAGAAACTTACCAGTTGTTTACCGTACCTTTAGAGGTGATTTTTCTACAGTATGTTTTCCAGACATCTTAAAAAAAAAACTTAATCTCAGTAACTCATTTTCATGTTTTATACTACAGGACTTATTTTGTTTGACCTCACTTCATATGAATTATACCGTATTTGCAGGTCATATTCCAAGCTATTGTTGGATCGAATCCGTCCACTTCTTACATTGGACTGGATGATTTAGAAATACAAAATGGAACGTGCCCATTAAGTAAGTTAATTAACTTCAATTATAATAAGTTCGTATATTTGAGTGTTAATTCGCGAGTACAATATTTCAAAAAATGGGTGAGGTGAATGGTTCGAATTTGTTATTGTGTACTTTGTATGTCAAATGTGTTTAATTACATTTTATCATTATTTTGCAATAATAATGTTGGTACATGGGTAAGCAAACAGCCAAGAATGGTTTGTCAATTATCAAACGTATTTTTGAGATTGAAAATGCCTATATTTTAAGCATATCTTAATTTCTTAGTCATCGATCTTTTTTAGCACCAATGCCAACTCAACCGCCACCTATATTTAAAGAATGTACCTTTGAGTCAAATCCTGTTCTTTGTGGGTTTACATCGTTGGAAATGAATAGATGGAGTAATACAAGAGCAACATCATTCAGTCTGCCGAACGATCATACTTTGAATTCAGCTAATGGTATGGCAACGTTATTCCACATTTTATTTTTGTAAGCACTAATAAACCTACTGTGAAATACAGCAGTGTTTAAAGCCGACCTCATAAGGACTCCAAACATGCGCGTGTGTTCATGTCAGTTTTGCATTAATATACACAATTGATCATTATACTGTATAAACATTTGTCAATTTCAATTTCTTCTTTAAGACAATTTTTTGGCTTTACACATAAGTATTGTAACTCCTACTACTACTACTACTACTATTATTATTATTATTATTATTATTATTATTATTATTATTATTACTATTATTACTTTTTTAATTACAGGTCACTACATCTATTCATCAAGTGACAAATCTGTGCTGTATTCACCATTACTCACGTCATCAGGTTCTGAAGCTTGTTTTTCTTTCTGGTATTTCATTGCCTCCGGAAAACATGGGAAAATTCGGATATATCTTCAACCTTTATACGGACAAATCAGAGAGCCTCTAGCAGTGAGCCATCAAGGGCATGGTGATCAATGGCATTTGCAAAACGTTCCTCTTCCTGAACCCATACCAACTACATTTTACGTCAGTTTACGTTAACAACACTTAAACTTAGTAATACTTTACTGTAAAATATGAATCATGCTCGTTTGCTTACGAATAATTTGTTTTATTATCAAAACTCTTAAATAATTTTTAGAGAATAATAATATATAGATAGTGTATGGATAGTTTTTTGGTGGGCTGGTAATGTTAACTAATGTGATAGGCCTATAGGATGCCTTAAAACTTTCAGTCGCAGAGCTGACAAAAAGATTGTCTTGGAACTAAGGAGGTGGATTTGGAAATTCTTAAAACCAGTTTAATCCACATAAAACTAGACGATTCCCACTCTTTCATCACATAATGAATGACCAAATCAACCCAAGTGGTGGAAAAAGGCGACTTACAATTTGATAAAATCACTATGCCTTTATCCCCACAGCGATGTATACAGTATATAGAAACCAAACTTCTATCTCGAGCACTTAAATTCTGCCCTAAACCGAGGCTGACTCGATCCACAACAACTATCTTTGTATCTGGAAGATTTTTTCCGACGTTTAAGATGCCGTGAATTTTTGCGACGGAAACGCCACAGTGGGAAAACCACAGATTCAAACCAAAAAAATTTCATTGAATCCATCTTAGTATCGTTTCCCAGCTTTAATAAAAACGTTCATTCAGGCCATTGAAGAAGGACGTGATGAAAGCCCGTTTCTAGTCAAGTTTTCCGCGACAATCTATAAAAAAGATGAGAGGCAGACCATTGCCAATTTGCGTTAGCGTGATCATGGCGTCGATCCGTGGTTGAAAGTGGGGTGGGGGCGGCGAAATGCAAAATAGGAAAGCCTTTGGTTGGGGCCAGGGGGTTGCCTAGAGCCCCGGTGGGGGTCCAGGGGCGAAGCCCCCTGAAGCTCTGGCGTCTATAGCCTGTTATTAGGTGTTTCTAATTGATTTTAAGGAATGCAATCAATTCCATACTACATTTTCAAAATACAGTGGCGGATCCAGGAATTTGAAATAGAGCTGAGCCCTACAGACTTTTACAGATAGAGAGTGTAGACCACCTCAGTCCCATGGTTGGAGCTGAGGTAAGAAAATTTATGATTATGACACCTAGTTGGCCGGAAATGGCACTCTCAGACTAAATTTGAATATAATTTCATTTTTTCCACTTTTAAATTTCGAAAAAATAAATAGGGAGGGTGGGCCTGCTGAGCCCATTGAGTTTGCCACTGAAATACTCATCATAAAAAGTTTTTAAAATTATCCTGGTAATCAGAATTATGCCCGCTTATATAAATTTCGTGCAAAATAACATTCATGAAAATAATGATATGTTATCTACTGATTAGTTTGTGACGTATTCGAACCATGAAAATCAAATACGATAAAAGTAAAACCGTCATAAATTTAGTCTATTTGCATGAATAGTACTTTTAAAATCAATCACGAGCTTTTTCCTTTTCTCCTCATTTTGAATTGTGCAAGTAGTATTGCAACTACACTATTGTGAGTGGAAATACTACCGTCTAATTTACGATCAAACAGGACTAGGAAGTGGGAAGCACACAAAACATAGACAATAATTAATTTATCATTATCAGTGGCGGCTCATGGAAAGCTAAATAGAGGGGGACAGGCAGAGACTTTCAAAATTTGGGAAATTAGATCATTTCAACGCCACCCATGGTTGGGGCTGAGGTAAGAAAATTTATGATTATGACACCTCTCGATGGCCGGAAATGGCACTCTCAGACCTAAATTCTAATTCTAATTTTTCTTTTTTCCCCATTTTTTTTTATAATTTTGAAAAATTTAGGGAGGCTGGTCGGCTCGGTACGGCCCTAATTGAATCCGCCACTGATTATTATGACGTCATTGCGAGATTGCGTCAACGTAACACTAGCGTTTTTAAACTTGTGGTATCACCGTACTTAAATAAATTTAAATAAATAGCCCTGTCCGAGCCAAAGGCTGTATAATTTTTTTTTTAATAAAGGCTACATAAAATTCAATTGACTAACTACAATTTTTTGACATTAGGAAAACCAGTAATCTATGTAGACCTATGCAAATAATACCGGTATTAAACACTAGTGTATACGTACGGGTCATAATAATATACCGTACAAAAGTAATAAATCGTTTATAGTAGAAAGTGTGCATTTTTGAGTTTGTAAAAATACTGGCCTAATCAGTTTCCAATTTTAACAACGTACAGTACATTGTTTTCATAATAAATTTAGCCTCTGACAACCGTTGCACCCATAAAATCGATGTAGTTTTTACTGAGATGGTTACAAAATGTACATACAATTGCGTTTTTACTCGGTTTTGGGCCGGAAATACGCACCGCAGTTGTGAAGAGTGAACAGACAAAATACATGACAGTCATGTGTATAAATTGTTATTTTTTGCATTCGCTTTGAAAACTGGGGTTTAATTATAGAAGACTGGTGAAAAGTGGGATGGAAGACAATTGATATGATGTCCCCACTACTTTGAAAAGTGGGGGACGTGTCCCCTGTCCCCCACCGATCGACGCCCACAAGCGTGATTATATCGTCTGATATCAGCTGAAAAAGGCTCTGCCACTGTCGTTATGGACATTAAATTCTATGAAGACGAGTCCTGATGACAAGTAAACGATCCCCTCTTCACTATCGTAAACTCAGAAAGGAGCCCACTCCAGAACTTTCGAAGGAAGTGAAAAAAAACATCTGTATTAAAGATGGTTATAAAGGGTTCCCTCGATCGCAAAATTGGACCCCACCTTATCCCCGTCGATCCGGTAATTTCTGAATATGTTGATGATTTATTAAGACCATAGTTGTTGCTCCTCCACTGTATATTCAGGATTCCACGGACTTTGTCCGCAAAATAAACTAAATATCAAATTTACCAAATAATACTATACCATCACGTGATCATGGAAAATGGTGCACTTACAGATCTCTTCCATAAACCCACGGATAAGCATAACATGTAACTGCTCCCTGGCAGCTGTCATCCCCGCACTGCACCAAAATCATTCCAAACAGCCAAGCATTTCGCATGAGACGTTGTTCTTCCGATTAAGATTTCTAGAATCGTACAGACCGGACACCTCCGGAAGAGAAATTATCATTGAGGGTCCATCGAAACTTCTATTATTAAGCAAAGGACATACCCCGTGCTCAAACACTGACTTATAAACCACGTCAGCGACCAACCAGAGTGCTACTGGTCACTACCGGTACCTATCGCCCTAGGTTTCCAACACTAAATGCTATAATTCAGAAATATGTATGCACATACAGACACAAAACGCCTCGGTTCTGTTTTTCTGAATACATCGTTCATAGCCTATTACGGAACACCTAACCTTCGTGATATATAAGTAATATCTAAATTTCAGAAGCAAATTAAATCTTTTGACAGCCATAATTTGAGCAGTCAACTTTGTGGTTCATCATGGAAACGTGCTTCTTGCTTAATTCTACACAATCATTCAAGAGCAACCAAACAAAAGACAAATTCCGGATAAGGCAATCAATTAATTGGTGCCTCACCAAAAATATCATTTATCCCATAGGCCTATATTATAATATTTGTGGTTAACAATATGTCGGTGAAACAAAAAAACACTCTTCGTATGAGCATACCTCAATGGTATGAGAATGACACAGCATAATCAGCTAACAAAACGTCTAAGCTTGATAAACCTGTAGGCGAACATTTCAATTCAGCTGGTGTGACTCAATTGCAAATTTCCGAATTGGAACGACAGGAATGAGGGAAATCACTGGGAACTTATACTTAAATCAGCACAACTTTCGGACTAAATATAAGAAACGTTCTCCTAGGACACTAAATTCATCCAATGGCATTCCAAATTAAATAAAAAATCATTTGGCTTATTGATAGATGCGTGCATCTAAAGTTTAGTTTTGGCTTTCTTGTTCACTCTTTATTCACGCTGCTTATTTACTCATGTCCTATCTCATTTAACTTAGTTTCTATCCACGACTTCTCACTTTATACTATCTGACTTTTTCTACCCTCACTCACTCGCCACTGAGGAAGGACTAGCGTTGTCCGAAAGCTATTACTTATTCTTTTTCTGGCTGTTTACTTAAGTATGCTTCTTAAATTTTTTCCCTTTGGAGATTATTGAACGTTATTCTATATTATCTTATATATTAGATTGTAATAGTTTTCGAAAAAGAGGATGCAAATAATGCTGCAATTGATGATTTCCTTTACAAACAAACTCCATGTGAGGAATTACAAGGTAAATAAATATAAATTGTATAACAATTTAATAGTACCTAGATCAGGCTTTGTAGGCACTTTGTGGTTTATAAAATTTGACATCAAAACAATTTTTAAAAGCCAGAATCTAATATCTTGACCCATTGGTCGGCTTTTAAATGGGATAATGGACTAAAAAGGGTTCTATTGGATTATCCGTCCTCATGTTTTCGGCCGCACTATCCATGCTGACAAACACGAACGATTCCTAGCGAAAATCTCATATGCATAGGCCAGTGGCGTAGCTAGGGGGTAAAGGGGGGGGGGCACGTGCCCCGGGCGCCACGTTTGAGGGGGCGCTGAAATGGGAGAATGAGAGTAAAAAAATAAGCACTTTTTAGAAAAACACGACGAAATTGATGTATTTCGTCAGGCAAGAATATTTTAATAAGAATCCGAATGTAGTTGTTTTTATTGGCAAATTCATAGATTGTGATTTCTTTTCAGTCCATTTAAACCGTTTTCTCTTGTTTTTTATCCAATTCTGCAATGACTACATGACTAAAGCTCATCCTGCCATATCTCAGAGCCACGATGGGAAAAGCGAGACTATCTGCTTTGGCATTATTATTATTATTTATATATTGAGCGTGATGAAACAGACAACATTGCTAACTTTGATCGTGTTATTAACTTATTTACTGATACAAAAGCACACAAAATTCAGTTGCAAGTTTATACAATGTTAAAAATTCAGCAACTTACAAGACTCTATTATAAGATAAATTTAGAGAATAAGAATACTGAGATGTATGCGATAAATACAACAGTCAAATTAGGATAATGGTAAAGTTGCATACAAATTTCCGAACATTGTAATAGACCATGGGTTGAGGCTCCAAAATCGGCTTAGTTTACGAATTCTGTGACCCACCGATTCGCGCTACTTGGCATTCGCACAAAAATGTCAATACTATTTTATTGAAACATAATATAATTGTCGGCAATCGTAAATTTGGGGAAACTGTAACCAAAAATGAGAATTTATCTTCGAAAAAATAATGTCGTTCACGAAAGCAGTACCCAATCACAGCACACTTACCATACCTGTTAAGCATTCATGAGACGCTATTAGCCAATCACAAACGTTCTTGTAAACTCGGTAACTAATGTAAACAATGTCGCGAGGAAAGTGACAATGTGCAGCAATTTGGACGAAAGTTCTCTGGTTTTAGTGGAATTCAATATGATATAAGTATACCAGCCTTTAAATAAAATACATTGGTAATAGTTGTAAGATTTTAGAGGTAGTAAATTGCATTTCCCGTCTTCTGTCGACTGTCATACCGTAGTTT